GGCTTTTAGGGGTCTCCTGTTAGCATTCTTACTCGTCTACGTCTCCGCATGTGACTCCTTCAGACTTGTAGCCCTCAGATGAGGCAGACTGGACCTCCCTGGCCTGTCAGAGTGCTGTAGTAAGGAAATCTGACTGGAAGCTGATTGGTGTTTGGGGTCTGTTCCCTGTTCCATCACCTGATGTGTGCACGTTGTAGTCCTGCATTTATAGGAGTCAAAGATTGAGTCAGGATTGGGGTCTGGCCAGGAAAGTTTCTGTATCAGTGGTCCAGCTGGAGAAACTGCTCTGAGAAATACAATCATTAGGAAGCTCACCTAGAAAAGTTTGTTTTTTCTCTCTACCCGCATGTGTTTTTGTTTTCATCCCCTGCCTGCTCTGCTGCATTCCTTTGCCGTGTGCTGTGGCAGACGGAGAAATTGCCGGAGAGTGACTCACAAAAACCTGACCCAGCAGTGAGATCATCACCGGTGGACGTTTGGAGTAAAACGTGAACACTGACGGTGATGTCAGGCCTTGTGTCTAGGAATCCCCAAATGGGTTCAAATACTATGATGTGGACACGTGTGTGTGTTAAAACACTGACACGGTGATCTTTTTAGTCAAATTTTTAATCAAATTCTAGTTCTTAGGACTATTTAAGCACAAACTTTAACAGATTTTAAGATTATTGTAGTTGTTTAGCTTTTATTTCCTTCTTATGATCTTTTATTGCTAAAAATATGTTAATTTTATTACATTTTATCACCTGCTGCCTCAAAAGTGGGCAGTCGTGTGTGCATATGTTTGGAAAACATGCGTACTGCTGTGCAGAACGAAACACTAAAAGTAATGACTGGATGTGTGTCTGCTCATTCAACCTTTATTTATACGTTAGTCTCATTGAGCCTCGAGGACTCATTTACGAGAGACGCCTGTTTTTAACAAAGAATGATGACAGCAGTAGACAATCATAAAGGAAAGCATATAAACTGGGAAAATAAATGAAAGAAAATTATATTAAAAACGAAACAAAAACAGCTACAATGTAAAGCGGTGTAGAAAACTAAAAACAGGAACATGTCTGCATTGGTTCTTGCCAAGAACTTAACAGATGCTTAAAGCCCCTTAGAGAGGTTAACGTCGAGATCTTCAGGTCTTTTTGTAAGATATTCCAGGAAACAGGAGCGGAGTAGGAGAAGGCCCTTTTGCCAAGTTCAGTCCTCACTGAGGGAACACTGCAGGTAATGATGTCCTGAGAGCGCACGCTGTAGCTGCACTCACGCAGAGATATGTAGGAGGAGATGTATGAAGGCAGCAGACCAAGAAGTGATTTAAAGATGAAAATATACCAGTGAGAGAGTCTGCGTGAAGTTAATGATGACCAGTTAACCAGTGAATACTGGGTGCAATGGTGGGTACGATAGTTACAGTTATGAATCTTAGTGCACCATGATAGACACATCCAACATCTGCAGGGTTCTTGTAGGAGCGTTCATGTAAATAATGTCACCATAATCAATGGAGGGAAGGAAAGTCGCAGTTACAAGGCGTTTCCTAGCATTCGGAGTTGAACAGGATCTATTTCTGAAAACAAAACCCAGTGTAACTTTCAGCTTCTTTAACAAATTTTCCAAGCTTAAAAGAGAGATGCGAATCGACCAAGACATCCAAATATTTGTAGGAATTGACAAACTCAATAGGAACACCATTTGAAGATAAAACCGAGGGAAAGACTGACTGACTTCCTGTTTGAAAAAAAAAATCCGTTTGGTTTTGTCAATGTTTAGGACAAGTTTGAGACTGAATAAATCTGACTGGATGATGTCAAAGGCGGATTGCAAAAGCTGGAAAGCCTTAGCAACTGTTTTAGCTCGACAATAAACAACTGTGTCATCAACATAGAAATGCATGGATGCATCAGGGATAATCTGATCTACATTACCTATCTAGATTGGGAAGAAGGTGGGTCCTAAGACTGAGCCTTGTGGTACACCATTGTTGACTGTTAAATGACTGGAGGAAATATCATTATGTTAAACACATTGCCTCAGATCTGAAAGATAGAGAACCAACCAACGGTGTGATCCGAGAAACCAATTTCTGAGATCTTATGGCACAAGATGTCAATAAATAAATACTATAGATCCCCAGCCATGTCCACATGTTGTGGTGTCTCTGAGCAAGACATCTAATCCCCAACTGCTCCCCGGTCGCTTAGCTGCCCACTGCTCCACCTGGGTGTATCCAAGGTGCGAAGGGTTAACTGCAGGAAACTAATTGTGCCATTGCAATATACAGAACTTGTTTCAAGATGGCTGCCACAGGTAATCATAGACGGCACAAAAATACTCATAATTTAGTCATGTTTACAGGGATTGGGCTAAAATTTAGAGTGGTTATAGCTGTGAGTCATCCCTAAAACATGCAGATACAAAACTTTTGATTAAATCTTTGGCATATTTCCCTCAAGGAATACTTGTTTTTAAATTCACATCTATATATACAACTTGTATTTTTCATTATTTTGTCAGTTGATTTTTGTACTTTTTTTATATACAGGGTATTTGCTTCTTTTTTCCACCACTGACTAATTGATTTACTTATTTAGTTTTGTATTTGTTTGCTTCTTTCTCAATATTTTATCTTCTGTAAAGCACTTTGTGGTACTCTTAGCTGAATTAAAAAAAGACTGTTGAGGATAATTCTTGCAGTTTGACAGCAGACATCACCTGTTATGTAGCATCACCTGCTGGCTTAATGAAGAACTGCCCCCCAAAAAAGAAGGTAAAAAAAAAACTCAGAGAGAATTTAAAAAGGCTAAATTCACAAATTCAGAAAGTTTATTTTACAACCTACAGCCACAGAATACATTTGAACCACACAATTACACATCAACTCAAGCAAACATTTAAAAGAGAAAGTAAAATGACCTAAAAATACATATTATCACAATGTTAAAAGCTGATGAAACAAAACAACCGTATAAGACTTTAGTTTGAGTCTAAAAATATCTTAAAAATAATGTTCCAACATTATCTGATAATCCAGAGTTTGCAGGAAGAAATGTGGGAAAGCAGCTGAGAAAAACCAGAAACCTTGGTCTTAAAATAGTCTCACAATGGCCATGAAGACATCTCATTTCCCGCTCTTTCTTGGACCCAGCAGACTCTCATTTGAGTCCATTTTGGGTTTGGACCACACGCTTGCAGCTCAACAATCCCAGTTATGAATGAAGACGTCTCAGCCAGAGGGACAGGAACCAATTTCCCACCAGTTGCTGACAACAAAACTGCCACCATCACTTGCTCAAACATCACACTTACAGGAGCTGAAGGTCATCTGGAGAAAAACTGCACGTTCTTTTAAAAAGACTTAAGTTACACAAAGTCAAATATATTTATATATAAACAAAATATTAGATTGTCTTGGGATGAGATGATGTACACATCCCCATTGCAACAGACTAGCAGAATAAATTTAAGAAGGTTTGTGTGTAGGACATTTATACACCTGGGTTTACGATGGTAAGCCAAATATTTATAATATAAAGTGTGGATATTACAAGAAGTATTTCCTGCTTTGCAAACTGAGCTGCAGAAGAACCAGTGACACATCAGATCCCATGTTTGGGATGAAGACATGCAGAAGCTGAAAGACTCCAGCTCAAAACAGCTTTGAATAAAGGCAAAACTGATGAGTAATAAGAAAAATAACTGCAAACAAACGGTCAAAAGTACAGAAAAAGACATGTATTGTCCAGGGTTGGAGAAGGGATGGGTGTGAGGAAACACTTGTTCTACTAAAATACAATAATTCAGAATGTGAAGTTTAAATACAACCTCCCTAATGTGAGAATTTTTCAGACTTTGTCAACTTTTTTATTGATTTTCTTCAAGTTTGCACTGCAGGAATCAGACACAGATGGAAGCATGTTATATTTTAGGCATTAAT